CCCAGGATCCTTTTTCCCTTCTGAGACAGGTTACTGACCTCCTAAGAAGTGCTGAGCAGTGAGGTTTCTATCAAGGCTGACTCAGCACTGACAAATCAGGCTACCGGGAGTCGGTGCCACATGTGGCTCTCCTCCAGCAGTGCTGTCATCCAAAAGCTCTTGAATATGAAGACAAACTACTGATATGGATGTCTAGATGAGTCCCTTGGTAGCAACATTGCAGACCACACTGTTCCAGTGGATATTGGCCATTTACTTTAAATATTTTTGCTTGGAGTCACCTGTACCTTTTAGTATTTATTACACAAGCTGCAATCCTGCATTGGAGTTCACTTCCCATGCAGTATCTTGCATCTGGTCTGATCTTTGTCCAGTCCATGCCAGGAGTGCAAATGCTTATACCTACTTTATAATCACAATATACTCAGCAATATCCCACCCATAATGGAGTAGTATTTTGATTTGTATATCTATAAACTGATTCGGATAAGTATGTTCCTTTATACATCACTTTTAGGCACAGATAAGCTGAGGATTCAATAGATGGGAAAATTGTATGTTGCTCAACAGTAGTAGCTGTGAATTTGGAATATAACCTGTAAGGACTTAGCCCTTCTAAGTGCTGTGTCCACCATAAATCTAGAAGAAGGAATTAGGAGATAGAAGTGTGTTTTGTTTTTCTCTTAGTGTAGCAAACCCATGTTTGATGATCTTGCATGAGGAACCTTGTGTTTCAAATGGGAGAGGAGGACATAGCCCTTTAGCCTTTCCATTTTATTCTGAGAAACAGAGTTCCATGTCTTAACTATTTCTAAATCCTCATTTGGTAAAATAGCAGGTGAGGAGTAGCTCTGCTGAAGATCATTACTGCTTTATGAAGTACCCATGCCAGAATCTGACAATTTTACTTTAAACCTTCTCTGGGATATCCAGCAGGCGGGATGGACGTTTATAAACTTGCTTCTGCAAGCACTTCTCTCTAGCTTGCTTTCATGCTGTGTTTATTTTCTCTCTTTTCTCTTTTAATCACTCTTCTATACAAGTCAGTGCCATTCTCTGTTCTCACTAAGCTTTTTAAAAATTCTCGGGGTGTTGATGGCGCTTCTGAAATTGGGACAGATACTTCCTTCCCAAAACCAAACAGAAGTTCTGCCAGGCCCGTTGTCTTCACACTTGCTGTTTTCTCTGAGAATGAAACCAATGTGATATAACAGGAAACTTTTCACTCCATCCTTACAGTGTTAAAATCAGTGTTGCAGACTTGGAACATGTGGTAGCTTATGCCAGAATGTATCTTTGCTCCACTACTTGCTGTATGAGTACAAATGGTGATGGCAATGAAATATAAAAAAATTAAAATTAATTGCATTTCTTGCATGAAGCCACTAGCTGATACCCCCTCATCTTTTTTTGTTGTTGTTGCTCTCTTCACTCCCTGCAGTGGTCTGTGGTGGGTACCCTTAGCAGCCCCAAACTATGTAAACCCAGTGCTTAAAAAAACATTATGGGGAGAATATTTTGTCAGCTGGCTTAAAGTTTGGGGCTTGTGAATTAAAGTAACACTTTTTTTTTTTTTTAAGATAATTTTTCTAATAGTAGTTCTCTGTAACAACCAGTAAAATTATGTTGACATCTTGTACCTATTTCTGTTCAATGGATTGGTTTCAGAAGAAAGTTGTGTCAAGTGTTTATACTTTATTCTGTAACTTTCCCTTAAAAAGTAAACAGTCTAGAAAGAATCTGTAGTTGAAATGGCTCCTGAAGCCTTCCTGTGTTTCCCACTTTTACTTACCCTCAGCTTGCGGCAGCTGAAAGTTCCCACAGCCAGATCTTGGATAAAAGCCAGACCGCTCCTCTGCTGTGTCAGCCTGCCACACACCATTGCTTTTTCAAGATACACACCAAATGGTTAAGAAATCATATTTTTCTACCTCTCTTCCAAGATGTGACATTTAGCTCTTAATAAATTAGTGAAACATTTTTGGATGATTGATCTTAGCATTAAGCTTATAACAGAGTAACTGATGATTTTTGGGTGCTTTAACACTGGTTTAAGGTAATGCTATGATTCTACTATGCGACTAGTGGGGCAGAGGGTGGGGCTGGTGGAAATATCAGGTAAGAATTTTCCTGTGTTTAAACCTGTGCTAAAGAAGCTACCTGTGGTGTAACTCCTTATGAATTAGTGTTTTTGACTCTTTAGTGGAATCCTTCACCCACTTGGTCAGTCTTGGATTCTTTACTGTCAGTGGATGTACACCTTATTTTTGCTTCCACCTGTCCTGTGCCCTGTCCCCATCCCCACAATGTGCTGTTTCTGAAAGATTGGCTTTGGCTTGGTTCTCTGAATGTTCTGCAACTCGGATTTTATATCTGGCTTTGGGCACCCTACTGACCGTGGACTTCATCTACACTTAATGTTATGGTTCTTGAAAAGGGGAAGTGGGTGGCAGTCTGATGCTGTTGGCATAAAAGTGTTTTTTTCTTTCCTTTTTTTTTTTTTTTTTTTAAAGTCTGGGAAGAAAGCCGTTAAAGCAGTCCTGTGGGTTTCAGCGGATGGACTCAGAGTTGTAGATGAGAAAACAAAGGTTAGATTTCCCTGGACAGAAGTTTTAAATCTCTCTATAATAATGTATGTGCTGTAACTTGAAATGGACACCAATCTTTATGTTAATACAAATGTTGGCATTTGAAAGGAAGACTGAAGTGTATAATTAGTTTAATAATTTCTTGCTGTGTAAACATATGTATGCCTGTTAATTTTTTTTTGCCCAGTTAATTCCACACTACTCTCGAGACATGTCATAAAATGTGACCAGTAGCACAAGCTTGGAAGAATTTTTTTTTTTATTTACTGCAAGAACCACTTTTTTCCTAATAAGTTGCGTTGACACTGAACTTTGAGAGTCCCTTGACTTTGTTCTGCAGCACTCCAGAAGGCTGCAATAGTAATACATGAGCAAACTCATGTTAATCAATATAATTTTCAGTGCATCCAAATCCTGGAATGGGTCTGAATGACCAAGAGCTAGCTTCCAAAAATGCAATGAAGAGAGTAAATGAAATAGGGGAGTTGTACCTTCAGACTCAAGCTAAATAGTAACCAAGTATCAAATTTGACAATTTCTAATTCTAATATCTAAGCTGTTGGTTTGAAATGGAAAACTGATGTATTTGTAGTGTCCTTCTAGGATGTTTTACAATTTCTTAAATTGTGAAATAGCGCAGTATGTACCATAAAGGCACCTGTATGCATGTAATAGCAAATGATTCTTGGTTTTATCTAGATGTAGACAATTAGAAATAAGAGATTTAGGCTTGTCTGTAGAAGTGTATAAGTATTTTAAAAGATGGCATGCCTATGAGAACAATTTTTACTCTCATTAGTCTGAAATTATTTTTTTTTATATTCATGTCATTTAATCCTTACTTTGTCAACCTAAAAGATGATTTCTGCAAGCCAACACTGAGAGGCAGGTAGAGATAATTCATATGCTTCTGCAATACAACTGCCTGTCAAATACATGCTCTGTGGCTAGTCTTCTTCAGGGCTGCTGTTACGGTATGGTTCATCAGCTCTAAAGTGACTGGCTCTTAAGAATTCAGTTTCTAATACAAGCATACTGATGTAGGTGCATTCAGTCTACTGATTGCCTCATTTAAAAATAATACATGTATTAGAAATATTACTGCATGTATTTAATCTTTTAAAACTGAATTTTAATAAGTTGTGTAGACTCTGGAGGTAATTAAAATTATAGGAGAGTATAGAATTAAAAAGAAAATAGACTATTGCCTCCTAGTGGTTGAATACATTAGCATAGGTGCCAAGTACTAACCACCAACCAAAAGAAAGGATTTTGGAACAAAAATTGAAAAAATAATTTTTCATTAAGATGGCATAGTTCTTAAACTATGCTATCTCCTTTTTAGAAACACTTCTGTCAATCTATGGGAACAAATCAGGGGTGTTTGATACTACCAGTGCTGCTGGTACTTTTCCATTGCGCCCTTGCTTAGATAATTGGCAGATCAGCTTTTGCTTTTTGTGTAGCAGCTGCTAGACCTTTTCACACTTGCAGACCTCACCTGTAAGCTTCAGCCTTGTGTTTTAACCACAGTAAAGACTTTTTTGATTGCAAGACTACTGGAGCTACTGTAAAAATAAAATAAATAAAAAATGTGAGCTCCATAGTCTAGAGGAGAGTTCTTAGGAATTGTTTGGGTCCCTAAATTCTTAAGTGGTGCCTTGGCACACTTCTACCAAAGGTGGCTGGTGGAAAACGTTATCTGTCCTTTTTGTTTCATACTGGGAATAAATTCTGAATTATGAATTCATTGACAGATAATTATAGCCACATCAGGTTATCTTTTTTCTAGTATAACTCATTTTTGTGCAGTTAATGCTGAAAATAACCTGTTCAAGTGTTTCTCCATGTTTCCTCACTTCTCTTTTACTGTGGGGTTGGATTTTTGCCCTCTAGGATCTTATAGTTGATCAGACAATAGAGAAGGTTTCTTTCTGCGCACCAGACAGGAACTTTGACCGGGCATTCTCATACATCTGTCGAGATGGGACAACAAGACGCTGGATGTGCCACTGTTTTATGGCTGTAAAGGACACGGTAAGTTTAATATGGTGTGTGTCCAACTCTTCCAGTTTCTAGCTGGAAGTTATGCTCAGAAAAAATAACCACCTAGAATATTGCAGTGTGCTTTGACTTCAGTTAAAATACTACTTAATCCTTGAAAAGTATTTTAGTTCTAATTCTTTACACCTGAGTTATTTGCCATCCCTCGGTGGCGTTGTCTTGTGGAGAGAAGCGGTGCCCAGCATGTGTATAAAAGGAACGCAGTCAGCCTCCGATATCTCTAGCAGAAGGGAACTACTCTTCTAAAAATAGACAGAAGATATTCTCATCTGAAAATGTATACAGCAAAAAACTGAAACAGCAATGACAGTTTTTCCAGGACAAAATCATAGTGAGTGAATACAGACTGGTTATGAATGCAGCCTCTTGTATTCAAATATTGCCTTGAATGGCAAGTCATCTGAATGTTAAGGGATGGAGTAAACAGAATTAAATTAGCATCCTGTTTGCTTCTAAGTGATAGAGATTTTTCCAGTAGAAGGTTTGAAAGTAAGTTACCTCTATCAGTCCCTTGCTGTGTGTTGCTAACTTAAGTTATTTATCTTCCTGATCTGGCCTTTTCCTCTTTCTGCTTTGTGTTGAGTCCTGCCTATATAATGCAAAGCGCTTGAAACCTCATGCAAATTCATTGTGTGAACTCCACATAGCTGCATGTTCAGAGCAATTGTACTTGACAATTTATCATTTTTCTTTAAAGAGAAACAATGAAGTTAGAAATTCCCAGTTAAACTTAACATGTTAAGAGCTGGAGCATTTCTATTTTCCTCTGTGAATAACAGGTCAATTCACTTTCTGGATTATAATAGATGAGTTGAGCTACTGTCAGTAATAGCACCTCTGATTCAACTGTAGCTGCCAAATCAGATGGATTGCTGGACTTCCTCCCACTTGAATTTCCATTCCTTATTGCAATTATTGGATAGTGGATCCTTTTGACCTCACTGGTTAATAATGGAAGTACTTTTCAGAAGGCACTCTTAATACTAACTTGTACATTGAGAGGTGTAAGTAGTCACCATTGTACTTTTAATTTTTATGCTTGCATTCAGTGGTGGTGTCTCCCTGAGCCCTCTGTAAACTTTCTCCATCTGAGAACAGCACTTATCTGTCCTTCAGGACTTACACCTGCTTAGGATGGCTTCACAAGAGTTTCTTTGTGCACAAATGTATCCAGAGGCAAGGGATCAGTGCAGGCACATTATCATACTAGCATCTTAGTAGCAGTTGAATTAAACAGATTATCTGACAATCATCTCTTTCATTGCTGGGTGGCCTTCTTGAACATTGCTTGTGCATTAGTAGTTGGGAGTCTTTATATACCAGTTTTAATTTTAGAGCCATACAAAAGGTGGCCAATTAGAGTAGTTTTCTTTAATGCCTTAATTAGTTTCTTCTTGTAAAGGCAGGTTGTCACTTCACAATGCTTGAAGCACATGTATGTTTCTGTTCCAGTTACTGTATGATGTAATGTTGTCTTGTACAGGGGGAAAGGTTGAGCCATGCCGTGGGCTGTGCATTTGCAGCATGCCTGGAGCGAAAGCAGAAGCGAGAGAAGGAGTGTGGAGTGACTGCCACCTTTGATGCCAGCAGAACCACATTCACCAGAGAGGGGTCATTCAGGGTCACTACAGCTACTGAACAAGCAGAGAGAGAGGAAATTATGAGACAGATGCCGGATGCTAAAGGTACGGGGTGCAACTTAAACAATCATCCATAGTTAACAAAACCAGCACTGAGGTGAATTGGAGCCTGTGCAAGGATTGAGGCTTAACGTTGTTGCAGCATTCCCTCTCTTGGGCCTTATTAGGTACAAATCACATTACAAGATGAAAAATGCTCCTGGATTTACTCGTAGCATTTTCCCACATCTCCTCCAGAAAAAGTGGCTTCATATTTGAAAGCTGCTTCTGCTTTGTTTTGTCATCCTGCTTTATGGCACAGAACACCGTAGGTATCATACTAAAAGGCCTTATTAGAGAAATGTTATAAAAATATAACAAGTTTGCCAGTCATGAAGTAATCATTTTGTAGTCTAAAGCTTACTGTAAATGAACAACAAATTATATCCATTTCTCTTAGAAAATAATGTATTTTTATTTTTAAGGCAGGTTACAAAGCTTATGTATAGAGTTATATTGCATAAGGGAAGAACAGATCAATCACGGTGTGCTTTCTAAAAAAACCAAACCAAAACAACCACCCGCTTCCCACAAGACATAACTGTTGTACTGTTAATTACTTTCAAAACTAGTAGCTAACTGATTTGAGAGAAGTTAGTTTTTATTTCTCAGCCATTTAAAATACCATTTAAAGTGCTCTGAAATTCAAGTGAAAGTAGAACTTGATCAAGTTTTATTACAAGTAGTGGAGTTCTACAGCTAACAAAAAATAAGTATTATAAATATTGTTCATAACACTGTTTACAATGGAGTTGAACTTTTGTTTCATAGGGTTCCACAGCAAGTTTTATGCTGCTACTCGATTGCAAAACTTTAATCTTCGTTTTCATCATCCATCTGCTTGTTCCCATACATTAGTCTTAGAATGTGCTAAATGAAGCTTAAACACAAGGCCTTTGTTACTTGAGGGTATGAGTCAAAGGCTTGACTCAATGAAGGTGTGTGAAATCCTTTCCAAGAAAGACTGATTAGAAGTGTTTCACTTGAATGAGCAGCTGCAACTCATGGGTACTGAAGCTTGCAAGACAACATAATTAGTTCCTCGTACCATTCCAGCTCCTCAGAAATCTCTAGTGTGACTCCTCTCTTTACCAGACTTAGTTATTCTCTTGTTGTGTCAACAAAAAATGTCATTATTTTTCCGAAAACGTTTGGAAAGCAATATAGGTAAAATGAGAGTTCACACCAGGATAATGAGATTTCCCCTTCTGCTGTGTTGATGAGCTGTGTTTACTGCCCCCAAAGCCAATTCACTTATGAATGAGAGTTTTCCTAGAGATGGAAAAATCCACATTGCTATTCTAATCATAAGTGTCATGATTTAAACTAGGCTTAATCCTATATTTCTGCCATTAGGCCTGGTTGACAGAAGCATGGTGGTGCTGTGCAAAACCCTGCAAAGTGAAGCAGCTGACTTTAAGTTGGAGGAGCTTCCAGTGCAACTAACTAGTGACTGAGTGGTTACATGACAGATAAATTCAGTTAAAGAAGTGACAGAGGAACTCGCTGTAAACATGCCTGGTGTTAGTAAGGCCTGTCAGCTCAGAGGCTGGCTCTGCCTTGCAGTGCACTTCCATCTGTAATGTATTTCCTGGAGCAGCTGGGGAGCTGCAACCTGAGCACTGAATGCAGCCCAACCTGTTATGTGTTGCTGCTACCTTTGGCCACGCTGAAGCTTGTGCAGTGTGTTTGGCTACTGCTGCTGATTCTGCAGGGCTAGGAGGGTGGCTTTTAAAAGGAGGTTCTAGAGCTGGGTTCTGTTCCCTGCTGCTGCTGAGCTATGCCACCTGAAGTCACTTAATGAAGTTTGTGGTAATATTTTGGCCATAGTTTTGTATGAGGCAAAGTAAAGCTTTCAGTCACGCAATATACTTTTCAGTCTTAAACCTAAATGAATTCAAGTCTTTCTAGAGCTGGGGTCTCAGGAATAGCTAGAAAGAATACATATATAAGGCCATTATTTCTATGAAGTGGCTAGCCTTACTTAAGCTTTGCTTTGGAGACTGGATGCATGTAAAGTTATATGGTGAAGACAATGAGGGTATACAGAAATTATTTTTCTGCTGTAGTATTAGAAACTCATTTGGAAGAGTACTAATTATGCAGATTCCTGCAGTTTTTCTTTTCAAAACAAATGGGAGTAGGGGCAGGCAGTTGAACACTACTTTGCTGTACTCTTCTAACCTCACCCTATTTCCTCCAGCAGTTGAAACAGAAGTGAAAACAGTAGCACCAGGTGCTGCACCAAACAATACTGCCCCCTCTTCTGGCTCACCAACCTCTCCTACTGCTGAAGTTGCTGCCTCTCTGGATAAAGAAATGAGCAATCCCCACGCTATTCCACGGAGGCATGCCCCTATAGAACAGCTTGCCAGGCAAGGGTCTTTCAGGGGCTTCCCTGCCCTTAGCCAAAAGATGTCTCCTTTTAAACGCCAGTTGTCCTTGCGAATAAATGAGCTGCCTTCAACAGTGCAAAGGAAGACCGATTTCCCCATGAAAAACTCAGGTAAAACCAAATGGTTCCAGTGAAACATTACCTTAAATTGTCTCTTCTTCCTTTCCTTCTCTGGAAATAACTGTCTTCGAATAACTCCTTATTTTCTAGTAAATCCTTCCTGCCTCATGTGGATCATTTCTCATGAACAAACATCACCATGTCAGAAAACTTCTGCTTTGGGAATAAGCAAGAATTTCAAATGCAATATTCACATGCAGAAGATAGTTCTAATCGCTATCTGAAATACTGAAGCACAGCTTCAAGTGCTTCAGGAATGGGTGTTGGTGAATTAGTAGGTGCTGGTGCTTCCCTCTGAGTCACTGAACCAGTTCCTCCACTTAATACCAGGGCATCTTGAGAGACAGATCCCTTCAAGGCCTTAACTACTTGTCATGGGATCATGTGATGCTTTTCTGCAGTCTGTCCTTCTACCTGTCAGAATTCTTGAGAGCAATTAAATGGCTTTTCACCTTGCATTAAAAGAATAAAGAAAGAAGTTAGAAGAAGCTGTACCACTTTTGAGGTGGTACAGCTGGCTGTATCAGAAACATGTGGTACAGTTTTCACATGATGGTAGTGTGGTTTTCTAGAATCATCCCAACATAAACACCTAGGGTGCGCAGTACTCTGCATAATTTCCTAGAATCCCCTTAGCTAGGTTACCCTGCAGGGCAGCTGTACTCTCACTTGGCAACAGAGCTAGTTCTAGGGTTCTCAGCTTTAAAGTAAAAATTACTGTGGCAAAGGCAAAGCCACCAAAAAAACCTAGTCTGACTTTTTACAATCCTTATTTGGTGACTTGTGCTTTAAGACCAGCACGGAGTTTATCAGTTTTACCGTACTGCTCACTAGTGATATTCACTGAGCACACTACAATCTTGAGTTTTTTATGATTCAGAACATTCCTGATGCATCCCATGTATGCCGCTGCCAGAGCTGCTTACTGTCTCAGCACATGCGCTGTATTGGAATATCCCTCAAAGAATCAATTTTTGCGCATGCCTCCTCCTGAAGTTTAGATATGGTGCATGTTGTATCCAGACATCTTATGGCTCTTATACTATTTGTGCTTAATTATGCCTGCTCATGTCATTACTGTGCAATGAAGGACTGATGAGCAGTACTTTTGAAAAGCAGTGCAATTAGTAATAATGAGAACATCTGGTAAGTTGGCAGTTTTACTCCAGATGTTACTTTATCCACTTTATGCTGATACTAGATTTAAAACTGAGTATCCATTTTATTTGAGCATTCAGCTTTTGCTTTTCATAATTCTACCTCAGGAGACAGGGATTTCGGCTATCGCTGAACTGGAGCAATCAGCATTCTGACTCTAGACTTAACTTGCCACTGTGCATTGCTGTCAGCACTTTAAACTTCATCTAGTTACTGTGGAAGTATGTTGGAACACTTAAATCTATCATAAGTATTTTCATTTCGCAGAGTGCTAAATCTTAATGCTAAATCCTTGGTGTGTTTAGCACTTTAATACTGAAAGATTTAGATTTCTAGTAAAGCTATAGAAAACCCTTTTATTTTCTGAAATTAACATCCTCTTCCATTAACACAGAGAAGTGGTAATAACTGACTTTAAATCTGGAACGCTGAGGTCCTTATCCTCTTGACTTAGTCACAAAATACACTCAAGTGGTGTTCTACTTCAGGTCAGATAATCAACACTGATTGAAAAAAAAAAAAAAGCTGTCATGCAAATTGGTAGCAGGAACATCTGTGACATAAGGGAACTAATTATATTTCAGTTTCACATTGGTATTTGTAAATTATTTCTATAGCCTTTAAGCTTCCAATTTAATGAATTTTGTTTACATTTTAGTCCCTGAGGTAGAAGGGGAAACGGACAGCATTAGTGCCCTGTGCTCTCAGATCACCAGTGCTTTCAGCACACCATCAGAAGATCCTTTCTCTTCGGCCCCCATGACAAAACCAGTGACAGTAGTTGCACCACAGTCTCCTGCCTTTCAAGGTTTGTGATTTCTCTGTGTGCCGTGGTCATACTGGATGAGACGTGAATGTACATAATGTTCCAGTAACACCTGCTCTTAATTTCTTGTGCAAGTCCTGTTATCAGTATTTTGGGGGAATGCATCCTGCTTTATTCATTTTGTTTGTTTTGTTTTTCTGTGTTTTTGTTTTTAACACAAAGTTCATGCACCTACCACACGATAGTTACCTGTAAAAGCGACTAGCTTTGAGATAATGGCTATTTTAAGATTCTGCCTCCTGAACTGCAAAAACCCTTACTGACTGTGTGTAACAGGAACCAAATCCCACAAGGGAAGAGATTTTGTGCCACCACATGATTACTCTTTTTCACACAAACTCTTAGATAAGTGGTGGAGAGATGCCAACTATAGAACTCACAGCAGCCTCTAATCTTCATTTCACTGATATACTTTTATACAAGTGTGTGGAAAAAGAACCTCTCCTTGTTAAACGTAGTTATTGTTACTTTGCATTTAAAATCTGTTCTTTTGTATCTAAAATTAATCATATAGTAACTTATGGTGAGCTGTGTCTCTTATCTATAAAAACAACAAATTTAACTTCAGTCAGTCATCAGAACTCAAGGTGTTATCAAATACATAAAAGTCCACCATCCCACAGTTCTGTTAACGAGCGTTGGCTTGGTGAAATGGAATTTATGGACTGTCAGTCACGTTTGGCTAATTTACACAAACTGCTGTCATGTGGAAGTGTCTATATGTGTTGTATGTTGATAGGTATGACATGACCCACTAATATTGCAGTCACGTGCATGCCTTGCATGAATTAATTGCACTGATGTTGTCTGCTCCCATTTTAGTTAATGGCACTGCCTCTGCCTTCTGTGTGCTTGCTGCTAAACCATCTCAAGCTGCTGTAGTGTCTACAGCTATGCCAGTTCGTGAAACCAATCCTTGGGCTCATGCTCCTGCTGCTAATACTGGAGCTGCAGCCATGGTCACTGGTAAGATTGGAAGTAGATCTGGTGTACTGCTATGAGAACTTGGATCAAAAGCGTAATTGAGCCCTTGAGACAATTGTCAATGCCACTTAATGGAAGGTGGAAGGAACAGTAACAAAAGCCGGAAGTAGTAGCCTTTTGCAAAAGTGGATGGAGGGGAGTGATGAACTCACTGGTTCTGGGTCTATAAGATGGACTGATTTTGGCAGCATTTTAGAAATTCCAGTGCTTAAAAAGGAAGTAATGAAATAGCATGTGTTTGAGGATAAAGGGGAAAGCATCTATGTGTACCCAAAATAATTTTTGTGCCTTCTTTCCACTAACATATGTAAGGGGAGATTAAGTAGGTTGCTTAAAGCCTTTAGAGGTTCATTTTTTCTGTTTAATAAGTTTAGTCTGTCCCTCTAGTCCTTGTCTATAGTGGTAAGGCGGTACTTTAAATGGCTGTCACCCATGTGGACACATGTGCTAGAAGGCTACAGTCAAACTAACATCATTTCCTGGTGTAAGTTCAACTCAAAAAGAGAAACTTTGCTAGTGAAATGGTGGGTTCTACTTGGCCTTATATGAGCACCAGACCCATTTTCAGTAAGTTTTTTCCCATAAGAGTGAGTCCCTAAGCTCTGCCTCCAGCAGTTCCTGCTGTAAAAACAAGAGTAAACTGATCTTTAGATAGTGTTTAACTAGATCAGGCAGACTCAAGACTACTGAGCAGTAATGGTTTTCCACTTCTTTAAAACACAAAAAAACACATGAATTGCAGAGCCATGTCTAGCATTCATGGTTGCTTTCCTCATCACATTGGAAACCTGGCGAAGTCCTGTGGGAGGGAAGGGGAATTTGAAACTGGAGGGAGAAGGAAAACCTGAATTCAACTGGTGGGAGATAGTTTTGAAACTGTGGGAGGAATAGAAATGATGGTGATTTATTTTTTTTTTCTCCCCCCCATAATAATTTAAGATAAATGAATTAAATTCAGAGCTGTGTTTTTAGAAGAAAAGGCTAAAATGCTAAGTGTTGAACATTGCAAAGGAGTGTGAGAGGTTAACCGTCTGAGCTCTATATGAAAAAAGTAAGGGAAGAGTGAATGGAGATGGAGGAAAAATATAAAGGAGTCATAGTAAGCACATATAGTAATTTGATTAGATGTATTGCCTTAAATGTTCATGTATATCATAGTGAGTACTCACACTTCATTTCAATGTGTATGGAACAGAAAAATGAATGTTGTCTTGAACTCCCAGTACATCATATTACTGTCCTTTAGAGGGTAAAGCCTTAATTTAGGAAACAGAGCAAACAACTCTTAAAAACAGTTTCTTAAAGCTTTGTGTTACAACAGTCCACCAGTCCTGAGCTGTACATTCAGAAGCTGATACTTCCCAGTTACAGGAGTTAGTGGTTATGGACTAGATCATTGCCACTAAGTTATGAGTGCAGGTGGCAACTTTCCTGCATGCCCTAAAGTCTCAGGTGTCTGCTATGAAAAAAAAAAAATAAATAAATAAAATCTGCATTTTAGTGCAGAAGCTCTTCTCTACCCCTTCTTGACCAATGTCTTCCTGTAACAGAACAGTACGGTGGATGCATAAATATACTTCTAGTGTTGGTAGCAGTCTTTCAGCCATGGAGGGAGGAGGCCTGTCTGTTCTTGTGTACATCCTCCAGCCTTTCTAACTGATAAAAGGATGAGGGGTGGAAATATTAGTGACTTCCCCATGCTTTCCTTCCTAGGCACGGAATGGAGCAGCACCTCCTCAGGTGCAGCCTCACCAAGTCTCTTCCAAGGAAATCACAGACGTACTCCCTCAGAGGCAGACCGCTGGTTGGAAGAGGTCTCAAAGACAGTCAGAGCCCAACAGCAGCCAACCCCAGCCCCAACCCCAGCCCCACAGCCACTACTCCAGCCTCCTCCAGCAGCTTCCCAGTCAGCACCAGCCTTCCCAGTCAGCACCTTCATTGCACCTCAGCCTGTGCCGGTGGGTGTGGTACCGCCTATGCAGCCAGCATTTATTCCAGCTCAGCCCTATGCTGTAGCAAATGGGATGACCTATGCAGCCCCAAGTGTACCTGTGGTTGGAATCACACCTTCCCAGATGGTAGCCAACGTCTTTGGTACTGCAAGCCACACTCCAGCAGCCCATCCGCATCAGTCACCCAGTCTTGTAAAACAGCAGACGTTCCCTCAGTATGAAAGCAGTAGTGCTACAACCAGCCCTTTCTTCAGCCCACCGGCGCAGCACAACGGCTCTGCAGCTTTCAACGGAGTTGACAGTGGCAAATGGGCTGCAGAGGACAAGCATGCGCAGCCTCCCACGGCTGCTCCGCAGGTAGACCCGTTTGAAGCACAGTGGGCAGCACTAGAGAGCAAGGCAAAGCAGCGTACTAATCCCTCTCCAACTAACCCCTTCTCAAGTGATTTACAGAAGACATTTGAGATTGAACTTTAAGCAGTCCTATGGGGGGGCGGGGGGAGGGGTCAGATAAATTGTACACTAGGACAGAGGGATAAAGGGAGCAGAGGGGACTGTTTCTGATCAGTTTGCTTTGATAATCCCAAAGGTCCCTTCAAATGAAAATGGGTTAGAAAGAGGGAGCACTTATGGGGAGGATATAAACATACAGAGAATGTAATGTGCAGTTCTTAAAAGGAATCTTGGAGCCACCCCACTCTGCATTCCCTCCTCACTTGGAAAGCTGGAAGTCAAACAGAGCAAAGAAAGGCACCCAGTCCCAAAGCCTGTTTTGCAGAAATATCAATTATCTCACAGAAAGGAAGGCAGATTTTGTACTTGTGTCATTCTGATGCCCTGGGAGTCCTGGATATTCCCCCTCAGGGAAAAATGGGGTGGGGCAGGGAGTAGGGTGGGTGGATATGGGTGGTAGAGCATCACCTGCTTAGCAAAAGCTAGGTTTGTGGAAAAAGTTGAGCTTCCATTTTGAGTAACAAAGTGAATATTATATGTAAAGAATAAAGTAAAGCCAAAATCTTTATTTTTATGCATTTAGAATATTTTAAATAGTTGGATATTAAAAGCTGTATGAGTTGTAAGTAATCTTGCCAAAGGTTAAAAAAGGGGGGGTTGGATGTAAGAAATTGTACATAAGATTGATTTATCTCTGATTCTTATTGTAAGTAATATTGGGGGGTGGAAAAGGGGGCTCTAGCTTGTTCTTGTGTCTGTTCATTGTAAGTAGCATATTGCAACAACAATCACAACCAGTAAGTCATTATATTGTAGTTTTAAGTAAAGAAAATTAAAGAACAGTATTGTCATGGATTGAAAACTATGGGGAAAATGTACTGGTTTTTATTGGAATCAAGCTGCATATTATGTATAGTATGTTTTTTTTTTTTTTCCCTTTCATGTATTGCTGCAGTTTCTTTTGTCTTAATGTATTGGTTCTAACACTACTGTGACAACACTTACTGTAATCATATCTACATCCTAGGGCTACCTGGGAAACCATTTCATGTTTGTCTGTCAATAGATCTTAAGAGGTTTTTAACTTTGGTTTTATTTTTTTTTTTTCCACTGATTTGTGAAACCTTGTGGTTAAGGCTGCAGCTGGTCCAGGTTCTGCCTCTGGTGACTTGTGAAAACCATCTCATTTTAACTTTACTTTTAAACTTTGGCCTTACAAGCAAATGTAAGTTATATATATTTGTACTGATGATTTATAATCTGCTTTAACAGAAATAAATGTTGGTGGTAGAAGCACTGTCTGTGAAAGCTTTATTTCCCACCCCATTCAGTTTTCAGCATTTGCCCTTCTGGGTATCTTTTGTGTTTTTAGGTGAATGTAGATGAGCCCTGCTTGCCAGCCTAGAAGCTTAATAATGTGTCTTAACACCTCTGATTTTATATACCATGTTAGGTTACCTTGAACTGTGAGAGTGAACTTCCAAATATCCTTGTGACCCATAACTATTTAAAACTATAAAATGGAGGGCTTTACTGAAAACATAAGATTCTGGGTTTGCATTACTGGATTTTCTAATGGGAAATATTTATACAGAGACAAAGACACTAACATTCAAACAGGGGAAAAAATGAAAACTCACTTTGTTTTTCTTTCCCCTGCTACTAAAAGGAGTGATGATCCTAAAAGCTGTATGAGAAGACAGTTTACTTGCATTCCTTTTCTGTTCTTCCAGTGAGCTGATGTCTACCCTGTTAGTGTGACTGGTTCTTACTGCATCCTGATGTACACCACGTTGTTTTAGACACAAGGAAAAGTCAGGCTTTGTAACCTGAAGGGGAAGAAATGCTCCTTTGGTCTGGCCCTAGCATTTGAGCTTGCCAGCATTTTCCATTTCCAGGAAGGTACAGCAAGTCTCTTTGTGATATGGTCTAGAATACAGCAACTTTTTTCTTTACCAATTCTTACTTCTTTTCAGTATGATATAAATAGTTATGACCAACACTCCCTATGGTATTTGAGTTGGTACCAATGCTTTTTTCAGCTTTCAAAAAGCAAGCAAATATTTGTAGACATTTATAATAGAAGAAGCTATACATGCTTTCTTTCCTATTAGTTCCCTATCTTTCACAGCAGTGCCCAAAGAGGTCAGCTGAAAATAGCCCAGTATAGCTACACCCTTCCCTTGCCCTGGAGATAACTGTAAAGGAGACATGACCTTCTGACAGTCCATTGTTTAGGGAAGAAAATGAACATCTTGATTCTCAAATCAAGAAAGTAAACATTGAGTTAGGCAGTTAAGTGGTACTACACAGAGGGAAATGCTCAGCTTGCCAAATACAAGACATGTAAAAAAACCCTTTAGTTAACTATTACAGAGATGATACATAGTTAAAGCAGTGAACTGCATGCCTTCCACTACTATCCTTACTGCCATGGTTATGGAGCTGCAAGGAGGTCAGAATAAATAAAACTCACTTAACTGAAGCACCTTCAGTGTTCTGCCCATCAGAATACAGGTGGCTGTTACAGCCCTCATGAGTCCTGAGAAAGCTCTTGCTGGCCACATCTTGCATAACCATACAGCTTAAATAAAAGCTGACTACACAGAATATTTAAATAGTCTAAAAACAGGGCCTCTGACATAGTAGAAAGGGCTATTACAGAACTGACTGCTTATTCTGGGACAACAGGGATATCACCAGGGCACTCCCCAACCTGGTGCGGCCAACAGACTACTACCCCCTACTGATCTTCCAGACAGGTGGGGAGGAAGCTGCATCCTGTAGTCTGAGGGGAATGAAGAAAGATTTCAAGGCCTTGGGGCGATTGGTAAAAGGGTCTGGGGCACAAGTAATTTTCTCTTCCCTCCTTCCACTTCCGGGGGCTGATGTGGGATCAAATAGGAGAATTCAGGCCATGAATGATTGGCTCCAGGACTGGTGCTACAGGCAGGGCTTTGGATTCTCTGATAATGGCTGGTTTTATAAGACACCAGTCCAGACAGTCATACGTGGGGAGGGATTATCTCACAGGGGCAAAAGGAGGCCGGGGCAGGAATTAGCAGGGCTCATTTGGA